GAAGTAGGCAGGAGAGACTGGCTCAGTTTGCCGAAGTGAGCAGTGTCTCAATTTTGGGCTGACAATCTGGGACACCTTAAATGAGCCTGATTCTCAGGAAGTGCTGAGCACTTGCCCTCTGAAAAACAGGATCCTTTGAAGGTGCCTCAGTCTGGGCCTCGCCCCCGCAGAATCATGCATCTTTTGAAAATTTAGGCCCATTGTTTTTTTTAAATCTCTCTCTAAAGGCCCTGGCACACCTTTGGGGGCTGTACAATGAACAACAACGAGACCCGTGTTTCTAGGGTGAGAGGGAACGTGATCTACTGGGCTGAGGTGAGATCTGAGAGTTCTGCAGCCAACTGTGAGCCTGAGCAAGTCACTTCCTCCGTCCATAGCACGGGGGTAAGGATACGTACCGGCCTTCCCGCAGGCCGGGGGAGAATGGAAGGTGTTACTCGGAGCTCAGGAATGTTGGCAAAGTACTTGGAGATCCTTTGGCGAGGGTGCAAAGTGCTAAACTAGCCAGAGGAGACATCCCTTACTATCCGCACCTACCCTAGGAACACAGTGACAATTATATGCAGGCAAACAATCAGCCAGTGGGCCACAGTCAGACAAAGCCGGCTCAACCCCCAGCAAGTGCAGCACCCGCCTTTGCAAACCGGACTTCATTTCCTTGGGGCTTTTGTTTGTCAGCAAGCAGGACAGGAAGGGCAGGGAGGAGAGAGGGAAGTGGGCGAGGAGGAGACCACAGGGATGGAGGGTGTGGGGGTAAGGCCAGGGGAGGAGGGAAAGGTGCTGAGGAGATGACTCAAACCCACAGGGATGACACTGGCTCTGACAGAGCTACGTGGAAGCTTGGCAGTGCCCATGGCACTTCACCCAGGCAGGGCCTCCAGGCCAGGGTGGGCACACTGGGGGGACGCTTGCCCTGCGGATGCCCAGGCTGTACCTGTTCGGTGGCTAAATAGAGGCTGTCAGTCCCCAGAGCCGCCCACCCACCCCCTCACCACCATGTGCGCGTGCCAGGGGGACGAGGCAGCCCAGGCGGGCGCTCCGCCTGGCGACGGGACGATAGCAAGGCGAGCATTAGACGCCTGCAGGATCAGTAGCAGCCTGCACCTGCAGCAGGCTCTGTTCCTGTAGCTGCGTGTTGCTATGGGAACTGCGGCAAGAGGTGGGGCTTTTGAGAGGGGAGGGGAGGCCAATGTACAAGCCAAAGGGGCTGGCAAAGGCTGTGGCAAGGCCCCCAGAAACGTGCCGGGCCCAGCAGGCGGGCCAGCTCTCCCAGCCCCACCCCTCGCAGCCAGTGGCTGCTGGGGTATTGTGTCTAGGTGAGAAGTAAATATGTGAATCAGCCTGAGTTACTTTTACCACAGACTCCGAGACGGTGGCTATATCATGAGAAATCTGCGCTTCCCTGCCCTGCATTCCTCTGACGCAAATCCAGCTAGATAGAGCCAGTCCCTACGCGAGGCTCTGTCAACACGGCTGTTTTGTAAAGGCCCTATCAGCCGCTTTGTTTCACTGCCCAAAACAGGCCCTATTTTATGCCTGCACTGGCCCTTGCATGCTGACCAAGGTGGGATCTCACCCACCACTTGCCTCTCGGCAGGACCACTGTTTTCTGGAGTTCAGGGGGAGAAAAGGATGTTCTGGGAAATGATCTGATGAAAATAAAAATATTTTTGCTTAAAAAATTCTGTGTGGAGCTGCAAGCCAAGGGAGGTGGAGGGATGTCAGTACATTATCTGGTCATCTAGACTGCTAAGCTTTCTGTTACGTGTTTGCACAGCGCCTCCCATGATGGGGCTCTGAGCCTCGACAGGCACAATTGAAATAATATGGTCTAATGCTTCCCCTTTTCACCCCAGTGCTCTCTGGAGGGCTCACCTCATGGACTGTATTCGTACCAGATGCCACATTAAAAATAACTAACTGTCGCTGCAGCATGGCCCTGTGTAATTCACTCAACAGCTTTGCTGTACATGGACCCAATCTTGCCAACATTTCTGCTTGTGAATATTCTTTACTCCTGTGAATAGCCCCACGGAAATCTATGGGATTGCGTCCATGAGTAAAGTTAAGTGTTTGCAGGATGAGGTCCCCGACCGGGAGGAAGAGCTGTGAATAACTTCAGTCTGCAAAGCCACCTCTCATTGTCCTCACTCAATTCTCTCCCTTAGAGCTCACCTCTGCTGCGCCGCCCGCAATAGCTCAGCAGCGGGTGCATGGGGACTGCTGCTTGTCACACAGCTCATACCAAGTGGACTGTCACTGGGTGCTTGCCTTCACCTCTACGCTGCATCCACCTGCTGTCTTTCATGTTATACTGCAAGGGCCATCGTTGTATTACTTGCCTGCATACAGCTCCTAGCATGATGGAGCCCTGACTAGGGGTGTCTAGACACTACCGCAACACAAATAAATACCCAACATAATGAGGAGGGATGCCAGGTGCTGAGAGGGGCACCGAGCACTGGCCAGAGACTGTCCCGGATCCCTAATAAGCTCACGCTACAGCCCCCGAGCCTGTGGAATTTCTTGCTGCTGCAGCTATCTAACCAGCTGCTGTTCAGCCCAGGCTGTGCGTGGCCACTCCTCCCCTGGGGAGTGATGCCCTGCTACAGCACTAGCCCCTGGGAAACACCCACGTGGGATGAGCCTCTGGGAACTGGCGATGCTGCAAACAGCCCCGGGGCCTCAGGCAGAGGTGCTGCATCCCCGAGAGAGACTCTGGGGGCAAAGGTGAGGAGTCGCCATTTGATTTGGTTCCTCCTGGTTCTTGATAAAATTACAATCTATTTTACAAAGGTTTTTGCCTAATTAACTTTTAGCGCTTTGGCTGTTGCCAGCTCAGCAGGTTTATTTTCAGCATGTTTGTCTCTGGCGGTCCCTTTAGACTCTACACTGTAATCACCTCTCCCCTCCCACAGACTTACAGATAATGGCAGGTCACAGCGATTTTTGTGTGCGGCTCTGACCAGGTCTGGTGCGAGCTTCCCTTTAGTTTCCACCCCATCAGAGAGGCTTTGAATTGGGCTCGGCGACTCAGAGAACGCAGGGGGGACGTGCCCACGGCCAAGCTGCGCCCGGCAGGTTCTTAGACATCTAGCAAACCTTCGAGGCAGGGGGACACTCCGAGACCTATCATCTGTGCTGCTCCCTCTGGTCTTTACCGCCCCAGAAAACCATCACCTGCAAAGCAGCCTGCAATACTGAGCAGGGAGAAGCACTGGCCCTATGGAACCTTTGATCCTATGCCTCCCCTCAGGGGCCCGTGCCATCGGGAAAGCCAGTGGCTCTTTGCACAGAGAACGCTAGAGCCATGAGCAGAAGCCCTCATGGCATATGGCACTGCAGGGAAGGCCCATCCACTGCAAACCTCTGGCTGCTATTAAGGATCACCTCTAATAAAGGCTCTTCTCTTGACTTCCAGCATGGCACCACCCATCCCTTGTGGCAAACTCTGCTTCACCCATTTCCTCATGTATTCATTCCATGTCTTCAGTGCCCAATACCCATCACCTCCGGCTGCCTCACACGTAGCCACCTCTGAGTGCCTCATGCCCTGCCACAGTGGTGACACTTTATACAGGCAGCACAACCCTGGCTCTGGCAGGCCACACAGGCCAAGTGCATCTGTCCAGAAGGCTCTATCTAGCACTTGCTGTTCCAGGAACTCCCAGCAGAGACCCTGGCAGATCTTAGCCCTTGTGGGGATGACACAGGGGAGAGCTGGCCTCAGCCAGCCAGCAGGACTTAAACGTTTCTGAACAGCACCTTGCACTGAACAGGCCGAAGCGAGCAGGAGCCAGGGAATTGCTCAGAGCAGCTCACCCCAAAGCAGCTCTGAATCCCAGGACACACGTCAGTAGGAGCAGAGGGGGTTCATGTCTCTAGAAACCAGGCTTCCAATCTCTAGCTATGCCGCCCTGACAGGAGCAGCAGGCCCTGTCTGTGTGTTTCTCCTGGCTCCCGGTGCCTGAGCACTCCTCTACCCGTGAGCAGCGTAGGGACCCTCTAGCCCACCAAGTCATCTCCACAGCAGTTGGGAGGGCGCTTCCCAGCACAGGGTGACAGGCGCGCTAGCACTGCGTGAGCTAGCGTACCGAACACTAGTGTGGTCGAGGTGGCACAGGCAGTGGCTTGGGCTGGCCACCCAAGTATGCACCCAGGGGATCGGGGGGCTTGTAGTCAGGCAGCTGGCCCATGCCAGTGCCCGTGGTGCTGGGCTATGATTTTTAACAAGGGGAGCTAGCCCATGTCTGTCTACCTGCACTGAGACACATGCTCCCACATACCCTGGAGGCTGTGTTTCACCAAGCTGAGATCCTCTGCCAGGGGAAGATCGGATCCCATATCCCACTGACTGCTTTGTTCCTGTGTGCATCTCTCTGTAGCTCCCCTGAATCTCTGACACCCCTTCACACTGCAGAGAACTGGTGCTTTGCAGCCTGGCCCCCTTCTCACCACAGTGAGAGATCGCTGTCTGTCAGAGAGCAGAGAGGTGTTCGGGGAGGATTTTCAACAAGGAGGCAAAATGTGTCTGTGGTGTAAACCCCTTATCTTTGGAGGGGTTACCCGGAGGCGGAAAGGCTTCCATGGGATACACCGTGAGGAGGTGCAGTCAGCTTAAAAACAAGTCACATTCTGTCTGGATACAAGCTACACGCAGTCCCACTGTGCCTCGCTCCCCCTGTGAAATGGGGAGAACCATACTCCCTTTCTCCCCCTCCTCCTTGTCTCTTTGGGGCAGGGGATGTCTGTTACTATCTCTTCACAGCGTGCCTGGCACAATGCGGCCTCGGTCGTGGCTGTGGTCTCTCGGTGCGACTGTGCCACGAGTAAATAACAACAGTCTCTAATAACCGCTCTCCATGCTCCCACCAACCAGGGCAACGCGAGAGAGCAGCCGCTCCACCGTTCCCTTTGCTGGCTTTGTGCGTGACAGCGCTTTGCATTCCAGCGTCTCGCCCGGGCACCCCGCAGAACTCAGCCCCTTCTGGGGCACTTACCGAGACTGAAGAGTATCAGGAACTTCAAACACACAAACTCTTGTCGATCCACCTGGAGCGAATGCAAGTGTAGGACCAGTTCTTGTGCCCTCAGGACCAGGTTATTCAGGTTGGACCCTGCTTGAGCTGCGACTGTCGCCATCTCCAGCTGAAAGCAAAGAAGGAAGCCGGGCTCAGCGGCCGGGAGCATCACACACTGCAAGGGCCTGAGGAGCGGCGCGTACCCCACTGCAAGGCATCGTGCGGGGTCTAGACCCCACAGTGTCTCTTAGCTACGCCCTGCCTTTGGAGACGGCATGAGCTGCTCATTTTAAACCCCCCTCCTGCTCCTTGCCCTAGGGACGGCAAATAGCCAACACCGCAGTGGGTCTGGAGGGGGACTTGAAAAGACTCCTCCGGTGAGATTCACCCTGCAGCACAAAGCCGAGGCAGGACTTCAGTGGTGCCTAGGTCTTGTACTAGCCCTCTGCACCCTAAGGGTGTCCTCACGGTGTCCCCCACCGCCGTAAAACTGGCTGAATGGGATTTAGAATTATTCCCTCTCTCTGGCTGGATTATCACAGGGAAATGGCAGTGGAGGGAAGGGAACAAACTACACCTTGGCAGGGTTTTCAGCTAGACAAACGATAGCTACAGGGCAGCGTGGCTGCATGCACAGGCCATAGATACTGGAACTAGCCACACCCCCTGGCTTGAAGCAGTTTCCATCATACACAGGGTTTACAGTTTGGTTCAATGGCTCTCAGCACCCCCACTACACACACTGTTCCAGCCCCCCTGGCACAGGCGATGGATGTCCCTGATTCCCAGGAGGGCAGGGAGCAGCAGCCAATTCTGGCCTGTGCCTAAAACATTACAGGACAGAGGCAGCAGAACTGCGGAGTCAGGGTGACATTCATCCCTGGGTAGCTAGTATAAACCCAGGAGACGATTTAAGCCCCACGGCATCCCAAACAGTGCTGCACAGGTCCTCTGGCCAGGATGAATCTCGCTTTAGAGAATAAACAGGGGTAACTTGGAGACAAACAAGAGAAAATAGCAATCTTCTGTGTTATTATTTGTTTTAATTTGTATTTAAAGAGGAAGCCCTCACTGCACAACAGCAATGCTGTCCTGGGAATAGCCGGAAGATCAGGCTGCGATTCTGGGGAGACTTTGTTCCCATGTTCCCTGCAAAATCTACTATTCAAACAGAGCTGGTCTGTTCTCACACCCAGTTTCTGTAAATACAGACATGACTGTTGATTTTTCTTATGAGAAACATTTCGCTCCAAACCCAAGAATTCTCCCCTGGCTGGAAGGCAGTACATGCCGGCCGCCTGTGCTCCGGGGATGGTTTGGGTCTATCTACAGATCATTATTTCTCCCCTTGTGTAAAAACAATTCCGGAACCCAGCAAAAACAAAACACCAGGCATCTGCTTGGGTCAACCTTAGTTCACACAGGAGGCGGGACGGGAGGACTTTCGCCAGAGGGAAAGAAGTAAGACAAAAGTCACCCATTTTTTCTTCCCAGTTTGGGCTCCACGTAGCTGGGAATGCTGAGATTGTCTGAAACTACGGAGATGGATTTTGGTTCACATGGGCTCCCATCCTGGAGTCTGAAGTTCAAACGAGCCCCACCGCTAAGCAACCAAAACTGCCCAGGCTGGCCTGACTTCAGCCCTGCAAAGCCGCTGAGTTTCCAGTGGCTGCCATACAAAACCAGTTGGCCCATAGGCTGCAGAGCCAGGGGGGCCACAGCCCGATTACTTTTTGGCCAGGCCAAACCTGAGTGTGACCCAGTGCACCATTTCACGTCACTTACTAAAATCTGGAGCGGGTGGCTGCATGGGCTGATGGGCCAGGGGCCGGGGGATTAGATTGCTGGGGGGGGCATTTAAGAGGGGGGTGTCGATGCCTCCCCCACTTTAAATGTTGCCCCGCAGCCCTTGAATTGGCCCAAGGCTCACCCAAAAGTGAACCCCCCGGCTGCCTCTAAACTCATGGCTCCTGGGTGTGGCCGTAACCACTGGAGTAGTGAATATAGACCCCTGGTATGTGACGGGGATTCGCCGTCACAGCCCAGTCCACGTGATCAAGGCCGGGAAGTTTAAAAAGCAATCAGCTGCAAAGAAAATGATCCAGCCAGTTAATGAAGCCTGGCTCAGGCCCGCTGAGCTCCCAGAGACATTCTTTCTGCAGCAGCCAGACCGGCCGCAGAGGGGGCTCTGCCACTAGACACATCGGACGCAGGGTCCGGGGGAATCTCCCGTGCTAGTGGAGGGTTTGGGTGCTGGGGAATCGTAATTTACATGGAGGTGTCTGGAGAGGGAGATGGAGAGAGGGAAGGACACTGGACTGGACAAGGAGGATGTTTGGGAAACTGGCATCCTCACGGGGAAGCGGACAACGAATGACTCTCCTCCTGCATGGACAGCGTTTTGTTTTTATTCACACACCAGTTCAGGAAGGCTGGCCTTGTAGGAAAGGGGATCAGGATTGCTGGCTCAAGTCCCAGCTCCACCCTGCATGACCCTGGGCAAGTCCCTTAGCCTCCCTGTGCCCCAGATCCCCTCTGTAAAACAAGGATAAAAATGCCATCTCTGTGCTCAATTTAGGGGCGGGGACTGACTCTGACTATGTGTTTGTGCAGTCCCCAGTGCAGTGGGGCTCAGATCTGGGGTGGCGCCTCTAGGTCCTACCATAACACACCTAAGAACAATGCAGGGCTCTGTTACTGTTTCTCTTTACATCTTGCTGCCTCTGATCCTAGAGAGATGCTACCAGACCCACAACTAGGGCAATGAAACACATTTAATAGCAACAGATTAACCAGCAGGCACATGGTGCCTTTCACATGCTTTCCTTTTGGATTAAAAACACTGGTTCTGACCCAGCGAGGAAGCAGTGGAATTTCTGATCTCAACTGGGTGAAAACAAAAATGGCAAAGAAAAGTGACTTTTCATCAATCCCCTTTGGGAATAAATGGTGAGAGGGGGAAGATTTTCCTTTGCAGAAATATGGCAGATTTGCAAATCCTGATGTGAACAGGGGCAGCAGAGTTACAAAGCGGGAGGGAACCGGTCCCCATATCACCCGGCTCTGGTTAGTATCCCAAAGCATCGTCAGAGGCATGAGGCTGTTCCACTCTTTGTGTCCATCAATCCATCTGCAGCAATAATGCAGGCTCACTATTAGCTATGCTCTCCCAACCCCTTCGTGCTGTTGCACCACTTAGCAATGCAGGAATTGCAGTGGAAAGGTACAGTCTGCTGAAACACCGCAAGGCTTTTCCCAACAAAGGAGAGGACATTACCTCCTGGCCCGTCACAAGCAGCATGCTGTGCTCCTTCCCGTGCTGCACCTGCCTGTAGATATGGTCAAACACCAGCAGCTCACTCCAGCAGTTCTGCAGCAGTTTCATCTGATCGCCTACCTGAAACACAGTTGCAAACACAGCCATTAAAACCTCTCAGATCTGCTCACGGGTTAGGGACCTGGCAACACAGTGCAGAAGGAAGGTTGGACCTGGATGCAAAGTTGTCAAAGGATGAGGTCTTGGATGCTTTTGAAATGAATGAACTCTCCCCCCCCAGCCCCACCCCTCCGTCCAGCGTCTCTGAGGAGAAGCGGCAGCAGAGTTCCCTCTGCTCTCTGACATATCCCCCACCCTCGGCTCATTCCTCAAGCCCTTCCTGTCAATGCCGGTCCATGGCCCATTAATGCATTGTGACAGTAGTGTGATCAAACGCACTCCTGGCTCCTGCAATCGGTGACAGGCTGAATTCACATTGTCAGCTGCAAAAGCCCACGTATGAATCAATGTCAGGTTTGGTGAGGGCCTCAGTGAGCTTCCCACGTCTCACCATGCTCCCACAACGATGCACAAGGAGCACATGTTGGAGCAGAATAAGGCAGTTCAGCAGCAGAGGCAGCTCCCAACAGGGCTTTCCTCACGTGCAATGATCCCCAGCAAAGCAGAGCAGTCGGTCAATTTCCCTTAAATACTGTATTGATTGGACTGTATACAAAATGCACAATGCTATTAACAGAGAATTCCCCCGCCCCCGCCCCCGCCCCCCCCCAGTGCAGTAGCATTGGGTGAAACAGCAGAGCTGGAGCCAAGGTGCATGCGTGTATGTACGTACACCTATCGATACAAATGCACACCTTAGCTCCATCTATGCTGACTCACCCACCACTACACACACACATTTATATATGGCTTTGAGTTTTCCAGCTATGTTGGGTCATGGTCCACATCCCACAGCCAGTGCGCTGGAGAGATATGGGTCTGCATGTGTGTTTGTGGGCTGTTCTGGAGTGCCAAGATGGAAAACAAACTGGTGGACCAGAAAGCATTTTACATTTACCAGCTGGAAGAAGGGAATGCAAAGCACTTTGCGTGGAGAAGCGAAATGCAGTTATCTGAAGTCAGACAGCATGTGACCAGCACAGAAAGGCAGGCTGGTCCAGCCGTCAGGCTTTGGACCATTTCAAGTTGGGTGGTTCTGGTTCAGTCAGCTGAGTTACTTCTTCCCCAGAGGATCAAGGAATTAGAAGCTGCCCCGGAGTGCAAACAGCAAAGAGTGAAGGGCAGGTGTTCAGTACAGCAGAGTTGGGGAAACAAGAGTGGTCTTGTCACTGAGAGAGACACAGCGACCCGCAGGCACCACTGTGACAATTAACATCTTAGCATAAGGAGTTAGTTTGGCACAGCCTCACTTTAAAGAAATACATTAGCTAGCTGCACCCTTAATCTCTAACCCAACTCCTCCTCATGCAGCAGAGCGTGGCAAGAGGCCTTCTGCCAGCAGGATGCGCTGTTCAGTGCCCTCACTACATTAGGCACAGTTGGACTAGTTGGACACTTGATGAGCTGAAGTGCTCTGTGAGGGCAGGTCAAATTTTTGCTGCGAATAATTTCTGTTAAGCAATTATCGAACGGAACATTTGACCAGCATCACCCCATTCTGGTGGGTTAAAACAGGTCAGGTGCGAGATTTGTACCTTGTTTTCTGAGCATGTAGGTGGAGAGAAGCAGCATTTAGCCAGCTTGGTCCCCATGGCTTCGTGGTACTCCTGCCTCTCCTGAACAGCGTTTCCATGGAACACAATCGGTGCCAATTAATTAAAAAAACCACCTTTTGTGTCTCTGCATGGAGACTGACGGTGTCAGGGGAGAGGCAGAAATACCCCCCAGCTCTGGAGTTTGTTGCAGACAGCAAAGCTCCTGGCTTGTCATTTTCAGGGGGGGCGCTCTCATTTGGTGTGCGCAATCTATCCCAGCATGCCCTGTGGCACGTCACTACAGACGTGTCTGTTATCACTACACAGGCACATACAAAACAGATTGGATTAGACCCCGGGTCCATCTAGTGCCTCCGTTTTGCGTTCGTTCTTCTGGGCCTGCGTGCCCCCTAAATCCCACCAGAACCCTTTGAGTGCTCAGGAGGGCCAAGGCTGTCAGCTGTCGGCACAGGGGTGAATTTCACCCTCTATGCACAGTGAGTGTTGGCAGGACTGGCCGTGACTCTGTGGGGACAAGGCAAGATATTCACACCAAGCGAATTTAGAATGCGGAATCGCCAGAATTCACCTCTGCCTTTTGCTCACCCAATCAGGGAACAGAAACGTATGTGACTTATGCAGCTTTTCAAAAGAGCTCCAATTTTAAGCATTGACTATTGAACTTTTTGCAGCCGTCCAGCCCACCCGTTGCATGAAGCATGTTCATCTGAACCATCCAGGGGGTATTTTCCAACATGCAGATACATTTGTGGAAGTTGCGATCTGCTTGTGGGCAGTCACCTAACAGGAAAGAGCTAAATCTGGTAAGTGAAATGTTAACTGCAAACAGCTCACTCCACTCCAGCCAAGACTCCTGTGCTCTATTCCCAACGCTGGTCGAGTAACTTCACAAGCCACATGGAAGGTGACAAGTCACTTACATGCTATGTGCCTCAGTTTCCCCACCTGTACCATTACATAGTATGTAATAATACCGCTCTTCCTTCTCTCCCTCACAAGGGGGCTGCAAGACTTAACTACCATTTCTAGCACTATTGATAAGCCCTACAAGACAGACAGCCTCAAGAATGCACAGCGGCTGGATTCTACCTGCAGTCTGCAGAGGTGTGTCTCCTCTGTACCGTGTCTGCAGGGACTGCCTGCTCCTCTGAGCCTGTACAGCACCAAGCGCGTTGGCAGTGCTCAGTGAACCCTCAGGATACAGTCCTGGGAGCTCCTCAGACGAAAGGCCCTACAAGGTGCAGAGGTACTGAGGACATGGGAAGTTGCATTGCACTCAGGAAACAGAGACCCACACGGTACAAGAGAGGGAAGGAGCCAGCCACTGTGCAAAGCAAGCACCAAGCTGGGCGACCTCCACCCCCACCCGGCTTCGAGACAAGTAAGCTTGTTTCATTCACGCTCTTATCAGCACTGGTTTGCCTCCATAAGGCAAGAATCTCACACAACCCGTGCACAAATCTTTAACAAAATGACTCTTGGACGCAGCCCCTCGCCCAAAGCCGCCGGGAGCGAGAGAATGCAATGTTGTTGTTTTACACAAAGGCTTTGTGTCTCCCGGGAGGGAGCTTTGGCTACTTTTTAAATGAAAGAATACAGTGTCCATCCTTCCCTCGCCCAGGAATGTGGGGTGGAGATGGCCCGTTTTGGGGAGTGTAGTTGACTCCAGGCCCGGAGCGCATTCTGCAGGCAGGCCTGGGGGGTGCCTGGAGCTCAGGGAGGAAATGCAATCCTCACCTTCAGGGCAGGCAAACTGTATTTCCGGCTCCAGGACTTGCAAACCGAAGTGACCTCTGCCTCTCAGGAGCCTCTTTTCCTGCCTCCAGGCATTCTTCCCAGCTGCTGCCACAACATCAGCAAACTGCAAACCACAGCAGCCAGCGTCCACAATAAAAGCCAGGTAGCGCCGATGCTGTGAGGCACCCCGTTTTCGGCATGGGCACCTCTGGCTCCTTTGGGACTGGTTTGCCCCCTGTTCCTGTTCAAGACTGTACACAGTCTAGAGAGAGAGGAAGCAGTAATGAGGCTGTCTCTGGGAAGATCAACAGGGCCAGGAGCATCTGCTCACAGCTGCTGAACAGAGAGAGGCTCCTCACTCACTCCTTTAACAGAGGAGAGAGGAGAGCTAAACCCGAGAGCCAGGTGCTTAGCTGGAATAAATGGGTGTAACTGAGCATCTAGTCCCAAAGCTGCAGCTCCCAACACTTCCCAATCAGGGCCGGCTCCAGCTTTTTTGCCGCCCCAAGTGGCAAAGAGAAAAAAAAAAAAGCCGTGATCGGCGGCTGCTCTCCCATGCCGCTTCATTCTTCGGCGGCAATTCGGCGGCCGGTCCTTCCCTCTGAGAGGGACTGAGGGACCCGCCGCCGAAGACCCGGACGTGCCGCCCCCTTCCATGGGCTGCCCCAAGCACCAGCTTGCTGTGCCGGTGCCTGGAGCCGGCCGTTCCCAATGGCACACAAGTTAGGCCCCACCTCTGCGGGTGGACTTGTGATTTAGGCCCATTGCTAATTGTGATCCAGTTCTACCCCCTACCCACAGACCCCCATTCACTCAGTGGGCTCTTGTGGGCTGCTTGTGGAACAGAGCAGTGCGGGCTGCAGAAATCAGGTATCGAGCGACCAGATGCCACCTACTGAGAACAGATTCCACGTTATGATGTTTAGAACCGTACGTCTTTTCCAATATATATGGCATTAGACTGGAATGTATCCAACCAGCCACATGCACCAGACAAGGATCCGTCTAAGGGATCAGAATAACTGTAAGAACTAGTCCCCTTTTCAGGTTTAAATGCAAATAACCGGGTCCAGTGCAGCAGACACAAAATACAGCTTTTGTTTTCAAAAAATTACAAAAACGAATACAAATGTTTTCATGATTTAAAAAATAAATAACAACTGGCACAGTTATTAGTTTGCATTTAAATGTATCCCCCTCCACTCCACCCCGGATTGGAAGCCCAAACACTGCTGGCCAGGCAAAGAGAAAATAAACAACATCCGAAATAAAAAGCAAATTCAGGGGGGTTAATTCTTTCATCATGACTTTGGTGACGTGCTCAGGAGATGAGATTGCTGCACAGACACCCTTTAATTCTAGGAAATCTGGGGCTAGATTTTCTCACAAATCCTGCTCCCATCAAGGCACCACGAGTGTTGCCAACTCTTGCCATTTTTGATCCAGTCCGTTGTGATCTTTGGTGTTTTTCAGGAATCTTCGAGAGCCAGGGGAGAAATGAGAATCTCGGCTTTCGTTTAGAAAAAGAAGTAGAAGGTTCTAGCCCTCATGGAGAAAAGCCTAGAAATGGGGGCTCTGCTGACGAAAAACCAGCAGAGAAATAAAAAGCCCCCCACATTTCTTGTTTAAAAATCTCCTCAATTTTAAGCCAAGCTCATGATTTTGGGG